CCCCCCTCTTGTCCTGGTGCCCGGCCTGGGGGGGGGGGGTGTCAGAGCCTCCCAGGACTTCCAGGATGTGGTTCCGTGTTGCCTGCAGCTCCACCCTGTGGGGGCCCTATGTGAGGCCCGAGTTCTGCAGGACCATGTGGTCAAGGAGTCTGCCCCACGCTCAGGTGTTTTCTAAGGAAGGCGAGGTGCCTGCGGGGACAAAGGCGCCCCAGGCAACAGGGTTCAGCTAGCTCCCAGACAGGCCAGAGCTCAGGAGGGCCGGGCAGCACTGCGGGCAGAGGCTTGTGGCCAGCACAGCTGGGAAGGCCCTTCCCACCGGGCCAAGGGCTCTCTGGAAGCCTCCCTACGCCTTGGGGCAGCTCGCGATGGCACTGTGCCAGGCCCCACACCTCCCTGCCCGCTGCTGGCTCACTCCGTGTGCTTATCAGTCTGCAGCAAGATGTCAAGACCACTATACCCGTGAGCTCGGCGGCTCCTGTGGTGCTGCAGTCACACTGGGAAAGGTGGATGGCACGAGGGCAGGCCCAGCTGCATGGGGGCCCAGGTCAGCACCGAGCCTCGACTTGGTAAGAAGACACGAGGTCACACGCTGCACAGTGGCTCTGCACAGACAAAGAGGCCTGCCCACGGCCACAGACCCTCTGCAGACCCTCACCTGGTTTGCTGTAGCGAGGCCAGGTGCTCTTAGGGGTCGTCAGCCATGTACACTTGGGATATACACGTTGTCTCTGCCGTGGCCTGAGGAGAACAGGACAGGGTGTGGCTTAACCTTCCGTGGCACGTGGGGACCCAGTGTGGCTGCCTGACTCTGCAGGAACTGAGGAGGCATGTGTGTGGGGGGGAGACAAGCAGCTGCCACCAGGCACAAGGTCAGGGTGCAGACAGTGCATGATGGGGCTGGGGACAGGACAGAGTAGTGCTCAGTTGTCAAATAAGCCAGGGGCAGAGGACACAGAAAACCCGAGTCCAGCAGAGAGGCAGGAGATGTACGGGAGCCAAAGCAAAAACCCAGAGCAGAGGTGCTGGGCAGGGGTGTAAGCCCAGTCCCGCACACGCCGAGCCGGCTTCCCAGGACTAGGGCTTGCGCTGGACTGACAGCACCGACAGCTGTGGCTGAGGGTGGGGACAAGCGTGGACCCTCCTGAGACCACATTAAGGGATGACAAGGAGCCCTGGAGGGACATCAGCAAGCGAGGACACCCACGTGCTTCTGGAAGAAACCAGTCACACGAGCATGGGGCAGTGGGGGATGCACAGCTGTCCTGGGCCCCGGCCCGGGCTGCCCACGGACAGCAGGGCCACCCTCCCAGGGCTAGTGCTCCAAGCTCCGGTATTTGAGGGACTCTGTCCACTTAAGCCCTGGCCAGGCGGTCTCAGTGAAGAGCTTCCGCCACACTGGCGATGGCCGAAGCTCAAAGATGGGCACACGTGTGCTCATACACTGCACTCCATCCTGCACGTGTGCTCGTACACTGCACTCCATCCTGCACGTGCGCTCGTACACGGCACTCCATCCTGCACGTGCGCTCGTACACGGCACTCCACGCTGCACGTGTGCTCGTACACGGCACTCCATGCTGCACGTGCGCTCATAGCCATCCTGCACGTGTGCTCGTACACTGCACTCCGTCCTGCACGTGCGCTCGTACACGGCACTCCATCCTGCACGTGCGCTCGTACACGGCACTCCACGCTGCATGTGCGCTCGTACACGGCACTCCACGCTGCACGTGCGCTCGTACACAGCACTCCATGCTTTTGTGGTCACCTGAGCTACTCAGTGTTTCATTAAAACAAAATAAAGTGAGTAAGAGGCTGAACTATTAGGAACAGGACTACAAAAACATGTCTGGGGCTGACCCATCCCCTAATGGCTGAGGGCACCAGATCTTACATGGCTGAACATGGTTTGAATTCTAGCCCCAAGTGGCTTAAAAAATATACCAGGCTGGGGACCAGGTGGTGGAGTCGTGGTTAAAAGGCCACTGGACTCCCACGTGGCTGACCACAGTTCAAATCCCAGACCTGGTGGCTTGCTTTCGCACTTTCTCTCTCTCTCTGTCCCTCTCTGGTAAAATTAAAAATAAGTAAATAAATGAAGTTAAATACAGTAATTCTTTTTTAAAAAAAAAGAAAAATCTACCAGGCAGGGCAGTAGGTGGCATGGAGGTTGGAGGCACTGGATTCCCAGAGTTCCGGACCTTGCAGCTTGTTTTC